TGTGGAGATAGTGTAAAGGTGTTAGCAATAGCTGGAAGAAACTAGGACATTTAAATAAAGCTCTTTAACATTTCCTGTTGTCATCTTTATTTGGCAGGAATAGTCCTTAAAATATAAGTAACTGAGTTCTTTGGCTGCATAGGACTTGTTGAAGTGGCCTGATGGATCCACTTAAAAGGAAGAGGGCAGGGGTTAGGGGAGGTGGAGGAAGGTCCGGGGGTGGGGGGTTCATGGTGATGAAAGGAGACTTGACTTGGGGTGGTGAACACACAGTATAGTGTACAGATGATGTGTTGTGGAATTGTGCACCTGAAACCTGTACAATTTTGCTAACCAGTGTCACATAATAAATTCAATAAAAAGGGAAAGAAAAAAAAAGGCAGGGGGTACGGGGTCGGGGAGAGGGAAGGGGTGAGCGTACACCTGCCCTTCTGCCCCTCAGGCACTGCAGTGGCAGGAGAGCTGGGGAAGCAGAGATGGATTTCACTCCTGTGGCCCCAGTCTGTGGCATGTAGAAGACAGTTATTTGTGGGTGAATTAAAAACAGTGGCTGATATGTCTGGCTTTCCTTTTCTCTCCTGTCTTAGGAATTGAGACTTGTCACAGTGGGGAGGCCTCTTCAGGCAGACCTATAACCTGTATAATAGTTCATATGTACTGATTGCTTACCATGTAAAGCATTTAGCCTAGTTCTTATGTAAGCTGCAATAAAACTCAACAAGAACAAAACACATGAAGATAGGTATTCACTCTTACTGCCTTTGTTTTATAGATGAGGAAACAAGTCTAGACAGGCCGAGGAACTTGCTAGAGTCCCACTGATAACAAGGGCCGACGGCACACACACTGTAGCCTCCTCTCTGTCAGGCTCAGACGGCATCGCTATTCAGTAAGTATTCATTGTGCACCTAGTATGTGCCAGGCATGATTCTAGGTGCTTGGGAGTAAGTTCATGAACAAAACAAAGACGTGTTGTCATTGAACTTACATTCTAGCAAGGGAAAACAGCCACTAAACATCGTAGATAAATTAGAATGTGATAAATATTCCCGGAAAATTTTAGAGTAGGATGGAGGATCAGCAGAGGTGGTGATAGGATGACCAGGGTGGGCCTAAATGAGGAGGTGAAGGAATTAGCCAATTGGATATCTCAGGGGAAAATATCACAGGGAGAGTGGAGTAAACCAAGCATGTCAAACTCGTGGCCATCGGGCCACAGGCCTCGTTTATTTAAAGACAGACAGGCTCAGTTAAGGTAAAGGTTGACCTTGTCAGTGAAGATATGGCCTAGGATATAAATACCCACCATAACTGCTTTTAGTTAAAGTTTAATTTCAGAGGATCCTTTGTGGTTACTTTAGGTCTCTGAGTTTGCAAGACGGCCATGCAGGTCTTCCCTGAGCTTGTCAGGTTAGCATGTGGCCCCTTTCGTCCACACTTCAAATCCTTTTTTGGGGGAACTAAGTGGGTCCAAAATAAAGAGTAGCTGAAACTCCAGTGGAGATGTGGTAGGCAGATAGACATGAGCAGAGCAAGAACGACAGGCCAGTTACAGAAAGTCACCAGGGCAGACCGACCTGGACACCTAGCAGTGAAAAAAACTGGTAGAGCAGATACTGGAAATATTCAAGATCTTGCCCCTAAGGTGATGTCCCCTCCACCCTAGATTGGCAGGTACTGGAGATAAGTATTGTTCTTCAAGAACTTGCCTCTTATGCCCTACTCCACCCTAGAAGCCTAGGGTCATGCAGGTCAGATGCCCATGTAGTGAGTCATGTGGTAGGCCCCCACCCTTAGAGAACTAGGTATGAGGGAGAGCTCCATCTGACTCCCGATGCAAGGGCTGCGGACCATCCACGGGACAGGCCCTAATAGGTCAATTGGAAGACGAAAGCAGCTAACCCCTGGGCGGGGTTAAAAGGAGCCCTACCCCACTCTCCAGGGCTGCTCTTTGAGGCCCCCCGCTGGAAATATCTCTCCAGTGTGCTTTCTCTTTGCTTGCCCCCCAAAAAATCTCTAGCGAGTTTGAGTCTTGGCTCTGAATTCTTTTCTTGGCCAAAACTCGAGTGCTGAGGTGGCCGAACCCAGGATTGGTCTGATCCCACTGGCCAGACACCTGGTACCCTTCCGTCGCCCACAACAGAACGATTGATTGACAGAGACGTGAACGCGCTTTGCGGGACAAACGGGTGTTCGTCTCACAGGTGAGCTGGCCAACAGTCGCTTCGCGTGCTGTTGACAAAGGCCCGACCACTTGTGGGTGGGCTCACCTGCCTTCTAAATGTTGGCCACTCGGGCGCCACCGCCCACACCGCGCGCCCCGCCACGAAAGAGCTAGTCTGGCGCCAGCAGGACAAACAAGACACATGGAGGCCTTATTGACAAAAATCGCGGCGGACTCTCGCCCGCTCCGCTCAGCTACGCTGAGCCCTCACCGGAGGCAGAGTCCAACTGCGGGGGGGGGAGGAGTCGGGGACTGTGGGGTGCGCGCCCCCAGCCCCGGGGAGGGCAGCGGAGGAGAGCAAAGTCCCGCCCCCTAGGAGGAGCACCAATCCGGCTCGTCTGCCTCTTTCTCACCCTTCAGTTAGCTTCCAGCCTGTCTTCATCACGCCAGGCCGATCCTGCCGCCGATTGGTCGGCATCTTCCTGGTGCGAACCGCCTTGGCCAATCAACGCTTGTCAGTCCACCTCACAAGCCCGCCGGAAGCGGCTCGAGAGCCCGGGGCC